CCCGAAATCACTGGGAGACACCCCCCCGCCTCGTACCCCATCTCAAGCTATCGGGCCGGGTGACGAGGGCCAGCGTCCCACCCCCGTCCCCTCCGCTCAGCCCACCTCTCCTCCCGACGTTCCTACTTCCCCACGAAGCAGTAGGTACCGTAGGTTCGCAGTTCCTTGCTGGGAAAGCCAAAGCTGCGGACGCCGGGGTCCGGCAGCCCACCGCAACGTTCGCGGTGATGGGGTACCGCACGCTGCCGTCCGCCAGCCACCCCCCATCACAGCGATCCAGTTGGGAAAACTTCCAGGCGGAATAAAGTTGCCCCACTTTGGCAATGGCTGCCCCGTGGTTGCGGCACGCTTGCCCGGCCTCCTTGAACTTCCGGCGGCCCCGGCGACCTGGCCTGGGGGTGGGTGGGGACGTTGGTGGGTGAGCGGCCGCCAGGGATGAGTTCCTGGGAATAACTCCAACCCTGATGCAAATCCGGGGGGGCATTGGGGTTCGGTGCTGCCGTGGGAGGGATGGGGGAACCCAGCGCTACCTTGAAGAGCAGAGGTGAAGCAGAAAGCATCGAATCGGTCCTTCTGCTTGTCCCTGGCCCCGTAGGTCCGGACACCCGGCAGGAGAAGGCGGCCACCGCATGGCTCCCGTGAGTTGATGATGGGGTAGTGGACGGTGCCGTCGAGGATCCAGCCGGCGTTGCACCAGTCCAGACCCTCCGTCCAGGCTACGGGGCAAGAGGTGGCTCAGCACCTTCCCTCACACCCGGTGAGGTGCGTTTTGGAGTGGATGAGGGGTTTTTTTTTTGGATGTTTCACCTTTGCAGAGCTGTTGGTAGGTAGCGAGGCGGGAGCCTTGCTGCTCGCAGGCTCGCTTGGCTTCATGGTAGTTGAATTTATAGCGCCCGTTGCTGGGTTGGTAGGGGAAAACGACACCTGGGGGGACAGGGATGAAGGAGATGCTCTCCCCAAGGAGGTTTTGGCTTATTATCCCAGGGGATTCGGCGTTGAAGGTAAGGCTGGGGCGTGGGGCGTTGCATCCCAGCCGTGGACCCTCGGTCCAGTCCAGGGTCCCCTCTCGGCTCTCCCCCACATCCCTGGGGGATGCGGCAGGAGGGAGCCCAGGCTCACCTTCGAGGTGGAGCGTCAGCGAGACGCTTTCGTCCTCCAGCCCGTTGACGAGCTGGCAGCGGTAACGTCCCTCATCCTCCAAAGCCACGTCAGTGATGGTAAGCGAGGCGTCGTAGCGGTGGCTGTGCCGCAGGCGGACCCGCGGGCTCAGCGGCCCGTAGTTCTTGTGGTACAGCCCGTTGGTGATGATGATGATGCTCTCCCGGTAGTTGGCCGGCTCCACCTTGCTCCACTTCACCCGGTAGTTGCGGGGCAGGGCACGCAGGACACAGGGCAGGGTGGCCGTGGCACCCCGCTCCGTGTGCACCGCGGTGTGGAGGGGTTCCAGGAGGTACTGGAGGCGCGGGGGGGCTGCGGCACACCCCGGCAACCTCAACATCGGCTCACCACAAAACATTGCTGTGGCCTTACCACCCCTTCAACACCTCCCTCGACCCTCATCGGCATCTCCCACCTGGTTTCCATCACCCATCCTGGCTCCTTTTCCCTCTGGGATGCACAGCTCAGCCCCTGGACCCCC